CGGGCAGGGCATCAGAGGAGGACTTAGAGCGTGGAGCTGCTGTCTCAGGCTAGCCGAGGGCTGTGCTTGCACCTGGCATGGGCACCGTAGCCAGACCGTGCCCCTTTAAGGGCTCCGGGGCCAGGAGGGGGGCAGAAGAGTTTCCCTGGTGGTGCCCAGAGTGGCCACCAGGGCAAGCTGGGGAGGGCTAGCCTCCCACTAGTTCGAATTAAGTGGCTACACAGCCCTTAATTCGAACTAGTTAATTTGAACTAGGTGTTAGTCCTTGTAGAATGAGGTTTACCTAGTTCGAATTAAGCGCTCCGCTAGTTCGAATTAAGTTCGAACTAGCGGTTTGCCTGTGTAGCACCTATCAAAGTTAATTTGAACTAACGTCTGTTAGTTCGAATTAACTTTGTAGTGTAGACATACCCAAAGAGAGTAGGAAGAGGCTCTGGAGAGGTTGCAGAGAAGGACAATGTGGGGAAAGGAGTAGGCCCCAGGGGCATTGTGTATATCGGAGGGTAGAGAAGGGGAAGGAAAGGCCGGGGAAAGGAGCGGGCAGGACTGTTGGGGGAGGGAGTGTTGGGAGAGGAAGTCAGTGAAGTGGTGAAATTAAAGTGACATGTCCCAGTGCACCTGTTGACTGGTATGCCTGGCCAAAAAGGGAACCAGCCTAACGGAACATCTTCCTATCTGCTTCTGTCATCAGGGTTTGTCTCAGCTCCATAGGAAAACCAAAATTGACTAAGATGTGGGTGCTAACAAAGAGGGCATTTATTTAACAGTTCAAACAAGGTAAAGCACGTAACTTTAGGACCCCCAGGACTAAAAGTAAGTGACACAAAGGTGATGCATGACTGCAACTCAGGTGAGTTCCCTTCCCCCAGGATGGGACCCAGGTAAGGAAATGTAGGATTATGAAACTACTACTATATCCTGCAGCTTATGGACCCTCACAAAGGTAGAACTCCAGCTCCAGATGGTATCTCAGGTGACAGTGATCAGGCTGCATCAGCTCTGCTTCAGCGATGGTTAGCCCACTCCCCTCCTAGCACCATCATGGGGGTGTGTAGGGCCTTGTTGATGAAGGGTGGCAGCTGGTAGCACACCCCTTGCGTGCAAGTAAGTTCACCCTCCCACAACCAAAACCTATCTGAGGGGTTCTAGCCTGTCCTCTAAGCATCTCCGGACTCAGAAGGGCAGCCCCTTGGAACTCAGGAGACAGCCCTTGGCTGTTGCTGGGCAGAACCTAAGTCACATGTTTGCCTAGTTTTCCCGCCAGAAACATCAAAAGAGCGGGAAAATGCCCTGAGGAGAGGGAGAAGGGCAGCCAAGATGGAGTCCATGTTGTTGTTTGTACTTTTACAAAATGGCGTATACATGTTACTGATTACTAAAACTTTCCCCTTACACACCGCTTGAGCAAGAGCCATCAGCACTCCACTGTAGGTGCATGCTGAGAAGTTTGGGTGGGCTCTCCTAGCTTGGCTCCCAGAATGCCTGCTGGTGGCCAGGTGAGGCAGGCAAGTGTAAAAGGGGCCAGCTGTGGGCACTCCCAACGAGGCTCCTGGTGCATCAATGCCTGTTCTGCGGCCCCTCTCTTTGTGGAAGCCAAGCAGTACATGTGCAGTCTGTGGGGTACATTGCTGACAGTGGTCCATAGGGAAAAGCCAGGGGAAGAGAATGACAGGCCAGGGGGGTCTCTTGCACTGCTGCTGCTTTCCCTGCAGCAGTGCCCTAACACAACCAGCCCACAGCTCCCTCCTGGCAATGCAGTGAGTAGTAGCGAGTATCTGTCCATCAGCCAGGCAAGGTAACCTGGCCATGACTGGGACTACCCCAGCCCCAAGCCCTCCCTTCACTTTCCCCTACACAACACATCCAGCTCCCTGCCCTGAGGCTCCCCCCATACTCCCAGCCCCCTGACTTGACTCCTACACATCCCCAGCCCCTTGCCCTGGGCCTTCACACACACACACAGCCTCCTTCCAATTCCAGTACCCTCTCACAGCCCCTGCCCTGAGCCTCCCCCACACTCCCAGTCCCCTGCCTTGACGCCTGCATCCTCACATCCCAAGCTTATGCCCGGAGTCCCCCTATGGCCCCAACCCTTACTCATACACTCCCAGCCTCTGCCTTCACCCTCAGCAGACATTCCCAACCTCTGGCTCCTACATCTCCCAGTCTCCTGCACCCCCTCCACACACCCGTCCCTGAGCCCCCCCCCCATCAACCAAGCCCGACTCCTGCATCCCCAGCCCAACTCTCTGCCCTGAGCCCCCCTCCCCACTGCACCCCACCCCCAAACATTTCAT